GGGGGGGGGGGGAGGGGACGAAGTTGCGGCGGGCAGAGCGGCAGCCGCCACCGAGCCAGCCCGCCGGGGCGGAGGTAGGGAAGGGAAAGGAGCGAGCGAGCGGGGCCGCCGCCCGTTGGAGCCGTTGGTAACCGCCGGCCCGGTGAAGCCGTTAACCGTTTACCACCTCTCCGCAGCGCCAGCCCGGGAAGGAGCGAGCGTAGAAGGCGGGGAGCGGGCGGCCATGGCCTACGCGTATCTCTTCAAGTACATCATCATCGGGGACACAGGTAAGCGGCGGGGGGCGGGGAAGGCCCGGCCAGGCCGCCCCCGGTAGCGGGCGGAGCGGAGCGGAGAGAGTGAGGGCCCCGGCTCCCCGCTCCCATTTCCGCAGTGCTGGCGTCGTCGACGTGGTGGCTTCTTGAGCGAAGAGGCGGCTCCCTCCCCCGCCTCCGCGCTGGGCCCCGCCCGGGGCCTCGGCCTGCCTCTCGGCGGCCCCGCGGCAAGGCCTGGGAGAGCCCGGCAGCCGCCGCCGGGCCCGGCCGATAGGCCGCGGGGCAGGTCGGGCTGTGTCACGCCCCTGCCTGCGGCATCGGAGCGAGGGATGGAGGAGGAGGAGGAGGAGGGGGGAAGAAGAAGGCGCTGTCACTGCAAAACTTGTAGCTGGGTAGTGGCCCTCGGTCGCAGCCCCGCAGCGGTGAGGCCTGGCAGGCGCATCGTGCCAGCCCGCAGTTGTGTGGCGAGGAAAAGGCTGCTGCTGTGAGGTACCTTCAGCTCAGGCCGCAGGGATGCCCTTTCCATCATCCCCGGCTTGAGGGGCTGTAGCAGACTGCTAAAGTGTGGGGACATGCTGTCAAATGAAAATTAAAAGCCCTTCCCCTTTCCTTCTAATTTACAGGGATTATATATTATTTTTTTCTTTTTTTTTTTTTTGGCTGCTACTTTCCCAGATGCTTCAAGTTGCTTCTTACCACTTCTTTAAAAACTTGCTCCATTCTATTTGTCATTGGCTGCTGTGTTACAAATAATAATGCTAACAAATGCTGCAGGCATAACCATATGCTGATAGGAATTGCTGTTTGAAGCCCCTTTGTCAATACATTCTGTGCTTCCTCAGCGTAGTGTGGATGTCAGTAGCATACTTTCATCAATTTGTTGTCAGGACAGGGTAACGAGCATAGTTAACTATTGTGCCTGTGTATTATGCATCTTTCTTGCTGTTTTCCTCATACCTGAATAAATGCCTTCTTTAATAAGTTTGATGACACAACTGTCACTCTACCTACTATTGTAGGGATACTTGCATAATTGTACTTAATACCTATGAACTAAATTATCTGTTGCTGGAGTGTAATTACACACTATGCCTGCATTACACGTGAGGTTATTAAATACACTAGATGCAACTACTATGTGATTTTTATCTCTTTTAAACCTACATTTAAATTTTTAGACTACTGCAGTAGCAGTTGTAGTACAAATGAATCTTAAGAAACATAACACAGTTGTAATGGCCATGTTGGAAGCATTAGGCTGTAGAGGTTAAGCAAAAATTCTGATTTTTCTTGAGTATTCAGATTAGTGACAGCTCATTAAACCAGACAACAGGAGATTACCTGATGAGATTCAGGGGAAGTAAGAAGAGGTTTGTCTGCCAAGGGTGATGCAAAATGGTAGTGCAGAATCAGAATGATAGTGCTTCAGAACAGGTGGCCAATTCTGGTGCATCTCTAAAAACTGTAATCGTTAGAGTGGTAGAGACAGCAGCGCACGATTGGTTTGGTACATTGATCATATACTGATTAAATTTTTACAATGAAATATCCTCAGTGTAATGGTCTGTGCTGCACTTCTGCATTTCAGTTGCTTGAAATGTGAAATACAGAATGGAATGTCTGTCGATTGTGAAGTTGTTTCACCTGCTTAAGAGCCAAACATGGGAAGAGTGAGATAGAGAAGGGAAATGCAGAAAAACAGCTCGCAAGTTTGGGTTTTTGTTGTTGTTGTCGTTTTGTTTTTTTATTTTTTTTAAATTCCTGTGGCTTTTATTCAGTTGCTACAGGAAGCTAATTAAAACTACTGCAGCGATCATTGTTGAAGTGAATTAAATATGCCAATAGTGGTAAGTTGGCTTTGCTCTTTATTTAGATCTCCTATGAGCCTTTTGAGTATTCTAATATAGCTAGTACTGAAGAGCCAATTTATGTTGCACGCAGTTGTTCGTTGCCAAAATGACTGTGATGCTTTAGGTGTTACTACTGTTCCTCAGACGAAGGCAGCTGAACTCACAGTTCTGCTGATGGAAATTACGAGTGGATCAGGACTGTCCTGTTGAGTTGCAGCAGTGGTCTGCCACAGCATTCCAAACAGTGAAGATATTCCAGTGGCCTTGTAGGCCGTGTAATTTTCATAGCGATCAAGACATCTATCTCTGGGACTTGATTTAGAGTCTTTGGAAATGGATCAGCTGCCTGGTGACTCAGCAATTAGTTGTAAACAAACTGTAGAAGAAAAGTAAGACAGCATCAGCTGAGGACAGATGTTAACATTTAGCTCCTCTTCCTTTTCAGCACTACACAACAAAGTGGGTTATGCAAGCCATAAACCAACTAAAACCTGCTGCAGTTATACAAGACACCTGCATGTGTCTTCTCTGAATTGTGATTCCACATGCTTTCATCTGCTTAAACACAGGACTTCTGTATGATCTCAGTCTCTTAAAATGACAGCCACGGAAACTGACTGTGTGAGACCACTTTTTGCTCAACAGCTCTTGTCCCCTTGCATTGCTTGCTTCATTGGTCATTGACATTCAGTGACTCTTGCTGGTACTTAGGCATGGTAGCTTTATGACCTTAGAATTGATTCTATTCTGATTGTTACATCTTATACATATTTAATAAATAAATTGGAAAAAAGTTTTTTTTCGAAGTAGTCAGAACTGTTTTAAGACCCAGTTAGTTTTCTGTTGTGGGAGAGACCTGAAAGGGCATGGCTGTCTTTCAGGTACTAAAACAACATTGTCATAAATCTGCATGGGTTTTACATTGTCCCAGTGGTACAGTAGCTGTGGAATTTCATGGAATTTGCTATCTTTAAGAGAAAAATGCAAGTATTGTGGAATACCAGCTGCTGTGAGAGTTAACCAGGAAAACATTTTTTTTTTAATCCAGATATTTCCAAAACATTATAGGATTTTGCATATGGATTAGGAAGCATAAGTGGTGCATTCTGCTTAGGGCTCCGAGACCTTTGCCTTGGTGGTTGATAGCGTATCTTCCATTTCAGTTCCCGGGAGGAGTTGGTCATCTGCTCTTCCCTACACACCTCCTTTTGGCCACCAATTGAGATAGACTTTGGTCTGAGCCACGGTGAACACTTAACACACAAGTATTGCCCGTTTTTGCAGTTGGTGACTGAAAGTCTGTCTTTTCTCAAAAGCTTTTCTGTATGATGATGAAATTTTCTTGTCTGCTTAAATGTTTTCAGTACCAGCCATGTACCACATGGGAATGATACATAAGATGTCTATGAAGACTACAGCTGGATTATTTTTTTTCCAGAATATTTTATATGCAGCCACATGGGAATGATACATGAGATGTCTGTGAAGACTACAGCTGAATTATTTTTTTTCCAGAATATTTTATATGCATTAAACAAGATTTTCTTATATTAGAGTATATTTACTAGTTTCCACCAGAGAATGCTACTGAACTTTAGTATACTTGGAATACCAGTTTTGCAATGGTCAGATTTCTTCCCACCAATGTAACTTGTCATTTGTATCCCTTCTAAATGTCTCTTTATGATCAGTGTTGCTGCATCTTCCATGAGCAAGTCTGGCTTCTGCTTTTCTTGAATGTGTTGGTTCTGCAACCTTAGAGCATCTTGCATAATGAACTTTCACTTGCCTTTCAATTGCAGCTGATAGTTGCTGGTTATAAACCAAAAGTTATTCTTATTAGGGGAAGATGATGAGAGAAAGTATAATTGCTTGGTGATCTAATTCTCCTTACTCTCTAGAGTAAAGCAGACTGTCTAGTCAACCATTTCACTTGTCTAGGAGATTCTCAAATGTTGAAATTAAGCAATTGAATTTGCTTTATTTTTCAGTCCTCCCTGTGAAATGTTTCTAGTGTCAGTGCACTTTGTTCTGGAACAGCAGCTGTCACTAGCTGGCAACGTGCATCCCAGAGGCTCTTGCCCTTATTTTGTAAGAGTATGTAACAATACTTCTTAACTCAACAGGTTTTGATCCTCCTAGAGCTGGCGTTAACACCCCATGATAGTTTGAGAACTTGTTCATACTGACAATCAGAGTATTGTTCTGTACTGCTTAGATCTTGCTGAGACCCTTTCGGTGATACTTTGATTCCTAAAAGAGCAGGTATTAGGTGTTGTGCATCTTCTTAGCCTCTTAAAAGTTAACTAGAAATAATAAACTAAGTAGATGCTCATACAAGTGGTTTTGTGAGACTTACTATGTGCCCTTGTACTAATTCTAACCTTTAATTAAAAAAACACACACACACCCCCCAAACAAACAACAACAGCAACAACAACAGCAACAACAACGAAAACCACTTCAACCTTGACTAAAACCACTTTTAGTGAATAGCTGGCAGATTTCTAAGTCTTCTGTGACCATCCAGAAGAGGTTTTCTGCAGTCTCATGTAGTTTAATTTTGTTTAGAAAGAATTTTTATTTATTTCTTTTTAAAATCTGCAGTTAGCATTTGGATAGTGCCATGCTAAATGAAACTTGATAAAGCTGAACAGCTCCTTTCAGTTTGTATGTCTGCACTGATTTTTCTGTGGAAAGGGGAACTGACATAATTGACTTCAGATACTGCTGTAAATAATTTACAGCAATGTTTGCTTATTTATTTAATATTGAAGCTCAATTATCTTTAAAACAGTTGTAAAGGCATTTTTTTGGCATTACTTTTCCAAAGCTTAGCCATCATGAAGGATTTTGGAGGTTGTTTTTCTTCCCTTCTTGTCCATGCTGTAATTGGTATGTGAAGTCCCTTTGTTCTGTAACTGGCACTTTGGAGTTTTGTAGTTTGTCCTTCCTATTCATTTAAATGAAATTTTCCCATTTAATGACAGAGTTGGGACTAACGTAACTGGCTGAAAAGAGGTTAAGAAAAATCTTTGCTTTAGGTTGATGTCTCATAATGCATAGGTCTGTGAAAGAGTGATACTGCACTTTGCTGAGTTGCATAAAGATGCTGTGGTTGGAAAGGAAGGAGAGTGAGAAGGAGCTGGAGCCTGTGATAAGAAA